AGTGGCTTAAAACAATAATTTAGTATTATCTCTCATGGTTCTGTGGGGTGTCTGGACTCAGGAAGTTCTTGGGTTGGAGATGGAAGTCAGGGCTGGAGCCATCAGAATGTTCTACCAGGCTGTTTTCCCAATATGGATCACTCAGATGGCTCACAGTTGTTGATGACCCTTTGCTGGGAGATCAGCTGGAGCTGCTGTCTGAGGGCTGACACATGACCTCTCCATGTGCCTTGGGCTTCTTATTTCACGTAGCTGATATCCTAGAGGAGCGGCTGAAGAGCAACTGTTCCAAGACACTCAGGTGGAAACTTCAAGACTTATTACAAACAAGCAATAAGAAGTATCAGAATGTTACTTTTGCCATATTCCATTTGCCTAATAATCACTAAAGCTACCCCAGACTCAAGGGAAGGGAAATTCCACTTCTTGATGGGGGAGAGGTAATACGAGAAGAGCCTGTGAGATGGGAGATATCAGTGCAATGAATTTTGGAAAATACAATCCCCAACAATGCAATAGGACATTGGCAAGTAGAGATGAGCATGGATTAAGGTAGAAATACCATGATATTGGACATTCTTTACTAGCTGCTTTTTATGGAGCTTTCAAATCCTGTATACTGTCTTCAGTGTTTTAATAAATACACCAGAAGCTTCAGACAGAAATTACTACGGCAGCATACATTTCATTCCTAATTTAAGAATAAGAAAGGGGCAGAATAGAGAAAAAGTTCTTGAAATACAATCTTATTTAATATCTTACAAAATATACATACCTGACAAAATATGGATATCTTATGGATATCTTACAAAATATCCAGATAAAATGTACAAAATCCAAAAATAAAAGTAAAAAATTCTCCCTATTTTTCTCTCTTTTTGATCAATCATGTTTTTACTTACTCAATCAACTAAAAAATAACAACAAATTCCAAGGATCATCTAATTTTATCAATAGTCCACAAACTGATGGTTTCACAGGAAATTGAAGAAAAATTAATCCCAAACTGTATAATACCTAGGGAAAAATAATGTTTCTAAAAAAGTATCCTCTAAAAATGTTTCTTATATTCTATTACTGCATCCATTTAGAGTTTTTAGCTATTTTTGTTAGTCTTGAGGTAGATTCAAAATAAGCATCATGAAAACTTTATAAATTAAATTTAGAAGCACACTGGTAATTGAATAAGAAGGTCATGAATTTGATACTGGCAGCAAAGCCTTTGAAAGGAGGACTGTCCATTATTAAAACTGTGTACATTTAAATTGTTAAATTATTTAAATCAACATCAAAAGAAATGATAAAATCATGTGAGGAACCAATATTTTCTCTGGAACTAAACTACAGATCATATATATATACACACACAGATATATATACATATACATATACATATATATACATGTATATATAGACAGTGTGTCCTTGAATATAAAATTTCTATAAAGGAACAAGAACAGAAGCATTCTTTTGATAAAATAGCCGAGGCCAAATTTTTTTAATTGCATGTATTTAAGAATTAACTAATTCTAACATTTAAAGACTCTACTGACTGCCGATTATATGCTGTGCCTGGCACTCATATGTTTAAAAATTATTTCAAGAAACACAAAAATATACATGTATATTTAATACAGAGCTATTCTTAGTAATACACCCAACTGAAAGGCTGGGGAGAGACAGCACCTGGGAAAGTCCTCCTTGGAGTCCCGCTGAGGGTCAGGGCTGCCCTGCCTGAGGCATGCTGGGCCCGTCTCCCATGTTGTGATGTCAGTAGCTACTTTATTGTTACCTGAGGGCTTCACATGGAAATATTCAGATGAACATTTAAAAAGTTTTGATAGATACAAATACTACTAGAACTTGTAAATTAATAAACAGGAAAAGGAAATTCACCTAGTGTATGTGTATTCTTCTGTTGTCGCTCTGTAATTCCTCTCTAAGTAAACTTATACAGTCTCACGCAAAATGGGTTTTTGTTATCCTTAATAAAAGAATTAATCTTGTGCTATTGGTGTATTTGCTTCCTATTTTTTACAAATAGCAAATCCTCTTTCAAAAAAAAAAGATATTCATTCATCTTCAGATACACAGATTATATCTATGGAGATACTATCATTAAGAGATTATACATGGTTTCTGGCCTCATGAAGTTTACATTTCAGCCCAATAAACAGGAAATGAAAATACAGTATGAGAACTACTATGGCTGGGAAATAGTGTACCATGAGAACAGTAGAAACACCGATTACCTTGACTTAGGTAGGGTGGGGATTGGAAGGAGTAGAGTTTCTTTCCAGGAGAAAGAGGTAGTGTGTCCAGCAGGATGGAAAGGATTTACTTAGGGAAGAAGGATCAGTAACAGAGCTGCAGACAAAGGGAAGACCAGGGACAAAGCTCAGGGATTTTAGAGGAAGTTCTGTTTGTCTGTGCTCGGGGAGAGGAAGGGGCAGGATGGACAGGGAAGATAAACTGTCCTCGATCTGTTAAATTACTTCTTACATTTTCCAATATGCAATTGTGAATCACTGAAGCAAGAAAATGATATGATGAGATGCATCTGCATTTCAGAAAAATTCACTAAAGATACAGAATGGAGAAGCCATTGGAGAAGTCACTGAGGAGGAGCAGAGAAACCAACCAAAATCTAGGAAAGGCAGATTCCCACAGAAGTGTGGGGGAAACAAAGAAAAATGGTAGAATTCGCAAAATGCAGTGTTTAGGGAATAGACTCTAAGAATTTGAAAACTGATTAAAATCAGGGTATGAAAGAGAAAGAAAAGTTTCTTTAAAATCTCTTCCAAATGAAGCCCAGTTTGTCTTACTCTTTGGTGAAGGGTTGAAGTCTACCCTGAAGAATGTTTTATTGATTTACATAAAAACAAATTTTAATCTTTACATGTGACCTAGGATCTTGAAACAATTTATGAAAATCAATTATTTTATAACAGCTTATATAGAAAAAAGTCTAATTCTATGTAATTAGCCTAATCATAATATAAATATCTACTTTCAAGAAAAGCAGTATTTCAATACATTCAATTTGCTGTTAAGATATGCAATTTCAAAACCTGGAAAAAAAAGAATTAGACAAAAATGTAAAATACTGATGAAAAATTTACAGTATTCTACCTCCCTAGTTTCTTCATTTTTCACACTTACACCAAAAGAAAAATAAAGTTACACGTAATTAAAGAACATTAACGTAAAGCTGCCTATTGACTTTGAAGAAAGAGAACTTAGAACTGTTTAAAAGAATGTTGTCTAGTGAATATAAAAAGCAATAAAAGCCACTAAAGCAAGCCACAGATACTAGACACATAGATGTTAAATTTTCTAGTAACCATGTTAGAAAAGCACAAACAGGTGAAATTAATGCTAACTGTGTGTTTTATAAAATGCAGTACATCCAAAATATTAACATTTCAACATGTTAACAATATAAAATATGTGTGAACTATTTTATATTCTTTTTGCACTGTCTTTGAAATCTGGTGTGTAATTTACACATAGAGTTTAGTGGCCACATGTGGCTAGTGGCTATTCTAATAGGTAGCTGAGCTCTAGAACATAGAGAAATACACCAAAAAGGCTGCTTGCTCTCTTACTGTGCCATTACAAATTTAGCAGATGTTCATAAAAAGGTTAAAAAAGTAAAAATCGAACAATTTGTAAAACCATTTGGATTGTTGTTTTGTTATGTAGAGGTGGCCACTGAGAGAGAAGGTTTAAATTAAGACAGCAATTAAAAGTTGAAATCTTGCTGATAATGTGACAGAAGTCAACAAAAGTATTAAAAAAATGTAAGATGTATTCAAAAATACAAAACCTCCAGATATCTTTAAATATAAAACTTTAATACATTTAAAATAATTTACTTAAGTACAGCCTGTTAAAGTTTAATTCAAATATCTAGTGGTAGCTATATCATTTGGAAGTGGCAGCTTTTTTTGATACCAGTAGTTTGATAAATCCATGGCAGGGGATTGCAAACCAGTTCCCATCTAGATTTAATGCTGTTTTAAGTTTATAAGAAAAATGTCACTATGTAAACAACAGACATTTTGATTAAACACTGAAGTTCTTATTTTGGCTGTTGAATCAATAATGCAGCTGGATTGAAAGTAGTTTACATTCCGTCAAAACTGGGCTTTGGTTCAGCTAGTATTGCACTGACATCATTTTCCAGCAAGATCTGGCTGCTTTCAGCAGCCAACTTAGAAATTTTCTTTACAAACAGCCACATAATTTTCAATGTTAACACATTTCAAGAAGAGGGTCTCACAAGTGCCTGAGCTTAAAATAGGATAGTCGATCCAAAAATAGTCTCTCAACTAATGTGCAATTTACTAGTAATAACTTTTAAGGTAATTTTAACAGGAATAGAATACAAAGGCCTTTGGAGCCATTATTTCTTTTACTTCTCTTGAAAATGACTTCGGAAGGTCTCCTATTTTTCTTTTTATAGTAGATTAATTAGTATGTAACTCACAGTATGTTCTCAAATTTATTTTGGTGGCAGAGCACCTGAAAGCTAGGGGGCTTTCTCCTAAACAATGAGCCCAGCGGGGAAAGAACATAATAGAAACTGCACGACTATTTAATTCTGGTATACAAACTCACAATGCCTTAAAGAGAAAGTAAGGCCATGTTACATATCTAAACATATAACCACAACTACCAGCACTATAAACTATTAAAAAAAAAAAGACAATTGAAGAGATCACAATAGGCCATGTTGAGGCTCTCAGAGATCATTAATCCACAACTTGTATATTCATTGTCAGCAACCAACAGTTACAGAAAAAATACAAAGCAAAGTGATAAAATGTACTCAGGACCATCCAATAACTACTACTGTATGTGAATTACAAAAAGTCACTATGATTCCATTTCAGCACCAACACAGTCTCATCAAGTTAGTGGGATAAATGTAGTCTAAAGTCTATGCTTAAGAACCACAATCACAACTTCAATCTACAAAACCTCAAATTGCTTACCTGTAGAAATTCTCTGACATTAGATCCCAGGACGCGCAAGATTGTATCATAACCAGATTCTTGACAAAAGACAAAAAACATCTTCCCAAACATTTGGAGGATTTCTCCAGCATTGAGATCTATTTTATAGATTTGAGAGAAGAGCAATAAAATACATTAAAGCTAGAATATTATTAGTGGGAAGAATGAAGAAGAGTGTACAATAAAAAACATTTTAAGTATCCTCAATTTTTGTGCAGAGTGGACATAGACAACCAGAAAAAATTCTGGCCAGGACAATACAAAAACATCTAAGAAGACAACATTTTAGCATGCTAACAGTGTAAATTTGTACTTACAAACAAAACAATAAGTTTCTCAGTTTCCATGACAAACTACTTAATTTTGAGCTTTTTGAAACATACAATATATTATCTATTTTCTTCTGAAAAATACAGAAAAACCTTGAAAATCATCAAGAATGCATGTAACAATGTCTTAGTACAAAAAATGCTTTTCATTATATATATGTATATTTAATAAGTTTGCATATAGTATGTGTCGTAATATGTGCTTTTTAAATATTCAACAATTAATGTTTCATAAAATGTTTAATTATCTGTAATACCGATTTTAATTGCTATCTTATTCAACAAAAGGATTCAATAATTTGTTTAACCAATCCCCTCTTACTGAAAATGTAGGCTTTTTCAATTTTTGATGAAAACATACATAAATCTTAATGCAAGTAAATCTAATAATTTCTTTAGGAAAAATTCCTGCAGAGTTTGAACATTTTTTAAAAGACTTTGATGATGATTTCCCTTTTAAGTCTACTTTTGACTATACTTGATACTTAATTTTTACAAATTACCAATTTTACATGAAAAAGTTATTTCGTATTTGTTTCAATTTTGATTGCCAATGAAACTGGATATTTTTCTTACTATTAACAATATACCATTCTGTTTTTATTATTCTTGCATTCTGTACCAGATAGTATTCCTCTTCTAGTTCTATTTGGCAAAGCTAAAAAGCTTCCTACCATCATATCCAAACTGTAGCCTAGTTACAAATTAAGCACCATGAGAATAAATACTACTTTGAGAACAACTTCTTTCCCATGAAGCTTTTTTTGAACTTTGTGTTCTTTGCATGAGCTTTGTCTCATGCAGATCTGTTTCCTGTTTGTTTTACCACTAGCTAATAAAGCTTGTGACTGCAAAAAGAATTGGATAACATATTCTGCTTACCATACTTTTATAATTATTACATTATTGACAACATAACTGAAGTTATTATTATATTAAGTATCAATAAGTTATTTTCTCCTTCCCCAACAAATGACTTTCTGTGGGATGGGGCAGAGAGCACCTCCATTCTCTAAAAGGCTTTTAAAAAGAAAAGTAGGACTCAGAATAGCCTAAGCCTAACATTATTACTATGTGAGTATCCTCCCCACCAAGGTTGTTCAGAGCACAGCTTACATAACTGTACAGTATGATCTCAATATGCTTTCCTTTGGGCTTCAAGGTGTAACTTAGGCAAAGAAGGAAATTCACATTCAACTTACTGAGGACTTTACTGGCAGCAGCAACCAAATCGTAAGTTTTAGAATCATCATATATTATTCTGACGAGAAACTGTCCTTCTTCATCTAACTGTGCCTCTTTTCTAGAAGACAAAAACAAGAGACAGATGGAGGAATAAGTTGAAATAAAAGAAGAGCTACTATATCCACAATGATTGGATAAACAATGGCTTTATATCTGAAATAGGATTTGTTTCAGCAAGTTTGTTTAAATCAGTGTCAAGTACCTAAAAGTCTAGTGATTAAGTAGAAATTATTTCATATCCCTTTCCCCAATTTAAAATGGTATATGTAAGTATATTTTAGCAAGACTAACATTTATATAGTACTCTAATGCCCAGTAAAATAACTGAGATTAAATATAATCAAGAAGTAACTTTTGGTTTAACAAACAGTCTGCAAATGTTCGTTGAGGGCCTTTATGTGCCAGGCATTGTTCTAGGCATTTAAGGATAGAACTTTTGGCAAAATAAACAAAAATACCTGACTTCTTGGAACATATGTATTCTAGAAGGGGAGACAGACAAGGCATTAAACTAGTAAGTGACATATATAACAGTGGTTTGGAGAAAAATAAAGCCAGTTAGGGAATAACTAAAGAGGGTAGGGAATGCATGTACACAGCCAGGAAGCCTTACTGAGAGGCTGGCAACTGAGTAAAGACTGAATAAGCTCTGGAAGTGAGTCATGGGCAGTCTGGGGAAGTGTGTTCTGGGCAGAGGGAAGAGCATGTGCAAAGGCTCAGGGAAGCAGCAGGGGTGTTGGAGGAAGAGCAGAGGCCAGTGTGGCTGGCACACAGTGGGGGGCACAGGAGCTGTAAGGAGGGGCCTGCTGGGCATTGAGATGACTCTGGCATTTACTTGCAAAAGATGGATGGTTTTGGCACTTGTGACATGGGCAGTGACACCAACTGGCATAGGTTAAAGGGATCAATCCCGCTGTTGCGCTGAATGGACCAAAAGGACCCAGGACAGAGCCAGGAGACTAGTTAGGAGGCTACTGACAACACTCAGGTGAGAAGTGCTGGTGAGCTGATTCACAGTCAGAACAGGGGAGAGGTGGTCTGAATCCAGATGTGAAGGCAGATCTAACACGATTTGCTGATGGATTGATACAGATCGTGAGCAAAGGAAAGGACCACGGATGACACTGCAGTTCTGGCCTGAGCATTGGGAAGGATGTTGCCACCAGTAGGGGAAAGATACGTTGAAGGTGGACTGTGGGTAAGTTCAACAGCTCTGTTTTAAACATCTGAAGTTTGAGATGGCAAATGGACTGACAAAATCTTCCAATATATCCAGAGTTTATTAAATGTAGTAGCTCAAAATATACACAGCATTAAATCAAAGGAAATTATAGTTATCACTTTTAACAGTTATCACGATAATAGACAGACTGGAACGATTTTGATTATTTTTCTCGAACAAGTGCCCAAAGAGGAGGGGAAATCCATTGTTCAAAATATTGCCAACTGTAAAAGAGAACTGACAAGATCCCAGATATCTTTTCCAATGTTAAATTCACAAAAATATGTGGATATCAGTCTCTGACTTGATTCAATCCAATTCATCTAACTCCCTGCGCCCTGCTAGAATATAAGAGAAACTGGCCCTTAAGGTGAACTTTAAACACGGTAACTCGAAGAGCTCCTTACACAGCTACTGCCATGGCTATAATACCCGTGTCTGTTCAAGGGAAAAACTCCAAATGGTAGTATGTTTTAGGTCTAGATGGGGTGTAGATACTCTTAAAATACACCATTATTTGCCTGCTGTTACACATAATAGCACCTGTGAGAAAAACAGCATTTCAGTCAGCATGGAGATCTGAATTGCAGAGCCCATAACTACTAGATGAACAAACTTGGACAAATCTCATAAAGCACATGAGCATTAAAACCCCTCTTTTATAAAATGAGAGCAATAATATAACCTGCCTTCCAAAATTGTAAAGCAATAAAGAGTACAAAAATATGTTCTAAACTGCTGAAACATATATATTACCAATGATCATACTACTTCCTATGTCAACATATTTAAAAAATCAGAGCGATATATATGATGTGAAATTCTTCTCCCTTTTGCTGAACACACACAGCTATTAAATGAAAGGAATTCATCTTCAAAACCTCAAGTCTTTTTAATACTAAAAGTCAAAGAAATATCCCAAAGTTATCAAGGTGCAATGTACAAACACTGCCATGTTTTGATAAATGCTATTATATATCCTACAAATTCTAATTTCTGATACTATAACAATACAAAGCAAAGGAAAGAAGAAACTTAAAAAAAATCCTCCACTACCCTGAGATAACTATTGCTACTTTATATTCAAGTTGTTTATGCTTGAATATATTTGTGTATCAACACACAGCAGATCACATGCTTTTCACTTAATATTTGATGAACTTCTTTTCATGTTAATAAATATATTTCTCTACCTTGACTGCAGAAGATTGCACTGTATGGACATATTGAAGTTTCAGTAGATATTTGGATGGCTTGTTTTTCACAAGTAATAAACAGGGTTGTGATGAGGATGAGTATCTTTGTAGCAAATAATTTTATTTCTATGTAAAAACAGAATTCCTAGAAATGGAATTGCTGATTTAAGGGATATAAATAGCCTGATTTTTCTCATTTTGTCACTAACATTTTCTTGGGAAACAGCATTGGTCTACAGATTGGAATTTTGAAACCTCTGCTTAAGGGCATTCTAATAAAATATAAAGTTTAATTAAATATATAATGAAATATAAATTAATTACTGCTCTCACTGTGTCCTACTCTCTTTCTTCCAACTGGGATAAATCAAATGACATAAATTTCTGTAATAAACTCAGTTTCTCAGAAACACTCACCAATTCATAACAACTGTTAAATAAAATGAAGTACAAACAGAATACACACTCCCTCTGCATAAAAGAGGAATGGCCATTTCCCTAGAAATTCCCCAGCCCTTAGTCAATGCATTCCTTCTTTCCTTTCTCTCCTTTTAATAAAATAAGCTTCCTTATCTTGGAAGCTTTACTTCCTGTAAAGACCAGCCCCACATGCTCACTGGAAAGAGGCTGAAATATAAATTAAACAGTAGTACATGGAAGGAAATAATCATCTTTTCCTAAAAATTTCACACTGAATTCTAATGAATTATTTGAAGATTTAGGATTCCTTCTTTACATGAGGAACTTTGGATCCCTCTTTAATTATTCTTCCCACCCCACCCCACCCCACCCCCATGGGGAAGGACTTATGTCACAAATATCTGAGCACCTATTATGCCCCAGGCACTTTTCTAAGTACTTTTAACATATCAATGAACAAAACAGATAAATATCCCTGACCTCATACAGCTTACATTTTAGCTGGCAGAAACAAACTATAAGTAATAAACATAAAATAAACACAAATTTTATAATCTATTATGGGGCAATAAATGCTACAAAAGAAAGCAGATCAGTTTAAAGGGATGAAAATAGGGATGTGGGAGGAAAGGGCAGGACACAAAATTAAATACAGTGATCATGGAGAAATTAACATTTGGGAACAGACTTCAGAAGGCAAAATTTACCTCTAGGACTTACTCTTTCTCGACCCATTTCCCTTTTTCTGTAGCCCTTTCTTCATTTTCTTCCCTTTTCAGAGGAAAAGCCAATTTTGATATGACAAAGACTTTAGGGGGTGTTGGTTTAATATATTAAACTGAACAGGAGAATTTACAGTACAAACATAGTAATATCCAAAGTGATTCATTTCAGGCAATGTGGTCGTTGAAACTAGTAAAAATATTAAGTCAAAAAAGCTCTCCCGGTGTCTCTCAATCTCTATACTACTTTTATTGTAACTTCTAGGCAGATTTATATTTGTTTGGACTGCATGCTGTCATATATTGTAGCCTCCAGAGAGCAGAGACATGTGATAACAATCTCTCAGATGCATGCTTAAGATATATTTGAGGGAATCTTTAGGGGCCTCCCTTCCAACATTATACTGTTCCTTCTCTACTTAGTTTTAGAAATATTTTTCACCAGCTATCTGAAATCACAGAGGGTGGCCAGCAAATGTAAGAAAGGCTGGAAAGTAAGCTAATATTCACACTACATAAATATTTACATGATTCAGGTAATATTACCTTATCATTCTTCATCCCCCACTTTGCCATCTCATAACTTTCAAGCTTTTTTTTAAAGCCAAGTAAAACTTTGTTAACAGTGAATCAAATATATAGCTATAACATTTCCAACAGTATTTCAGATTTATTTTCTTGATCTGTGTAGTGTCTTTAGTGCTTACATTACGCAAATTCAGCCATGTACTCTAACCAAATTTTCTAGACTTGCTCATTTTTCTGAGAATACATTTCTTAGGCATCAACTTTGTTTAAATTTTTGCATTACCACAAAGCAATTATGTAATTCCTTATTACTTATATTTAGTTCACATGTGAAGAAAACCATAGGATTCTCTGAGAAACATAATTTAAAATTTTCCCCCAAAGAGAAAATTTGGACAAACTTTTTTTACTTAAATCATTTTCAGATGACAACAAATATCATATGAAGCCACAGGTACGTGGGACTGAACTGTATTCAACAGTGTGCTCATCTATCAAAGTGCAACCAACAGAACTGCTATCATCATATATCCTGGTCTGTGTTATTAGATTCTGTTGCTTCCTATTATTATTATTTTACATTCTTTAGATAACCCTAAACAAAAATAGTCTTCCACTATTTCCAAACAGTATTGCTTACAGTAGTTGTGTAATCTTGCCTATATACGCAATAAGTGAATTTGGGTTATTTCTTAACTTTATTTCTGCCAATGAAAAACTATTTAAACTAGTAAATTGATTCAGAAAAGTTACAAGATACAAAATTAATGCCCATAAATCTCTTGCATTCCTATATACTCACAATGAACTGGCAGACAGAGAACTCAGGAAAACAATTCCATTTACAATTGCATCAAAAAGAATAAACCTAACCAAGGAGGTGAAATATGTGTACTCTGAAAACTGTACGACACTGATGAGAGAGATAAAGGAAGACACAAATAAATGGAAAGCTATCCCATGCTCCTTG